CTTTGTTACACAAGTCACACCATTCAGGCTAGTGATGGCAACCCAAGCATCAGCATCCTCACTACACTGCTGTGACCTGTGGACTACCTCCTACTCTTTTACTTCCTCCTTCAGAGCTGTCTAGGCAAAGGAATGAGGTGATAGCTAGTGAAACATCTCAAGCAAGGAAGAAAGGCCATGTTCCTTTGCTCCAAAGCAATGGATGCACACTTGAGGAAAATGCCCTTCCAGGCAGGACAGCCAGTCAGTACTTAGCAGGCCCGAGCAACTGAAGTGTGTGTGCAGGAGTGCCCCTGCCTAATGTCATTTTAGACTTGGACAGTGGTCAGCAACACCTTAAGGCCAGAGAGCTGCTAAGCCAACACAGAAAATCAATAGCATTTAGAAAAAAAAACCCAACCAACCAACCACCCTGTATACACATAAAAATGTAAGCAAGTTTAAAAGATCAAAGAGTTTGGCTATATGTGTGCATTATATAGAACAACTGGAATGTTTTACACACAGCCAGCATTTTTTGCCTTGAGAATAATTAGGAAGGATTCAAGATGCTTAATTCCGCTTCCAAGTAGTATCAGGCACTAGCTAAACCGTACTGCAAGCATCAACAAACTTGCATTTCCTGTTCTTAAATGTTTTGAGGCTCTCCAGTTTTAACTGCTGAACTTTGAGATACAGATCATAGTAACAGCAGCAGAACAGAACAAAGGGAAGGGAAGTGCAACTGAAGCAGAAGCTTAAACCAAAGCAGTAAACTGCATGTTGTCGATGTGCTTTTATTAAGAGGACATGAAAAGGACATTATAAGGGATTCAAAGCATTTGGGGGTGGGGATGGAGGGGAGGAAGAGACAACACTTGAAATAAACGTTCCATGGAGAGAAAATCTCTAATAATTTATTGACCTTCAGTTTCACATTGTGAAAAAAAAATATGCAAGTTTTACAAAACCTTAAGATGTAGTAGCAAACAAAAAAGACAAAACATAGACAATTTTACTTCTTCACTTGCACAGTTTTCTTTTAGCACATGAACCACATCTTCAATAGCCAGGAAAGGGAACATTATTCTGCTCTAATCACTCTTATTCAGACAGGTGTCAGACCTAGAGAAAAGGGGCTGCACAATTATACCAGAAGAGGAAGGCTGTCCTTTGTTACATGTTTCTACAGCAACCAGCCTTCAAAATAAGAGGAACCTTCCCGTCTTATGCCAGGGTTTTTGTGTGCACTCCGCTGTGAACTGCATTTGCTTCAAAGTGTGGGGTGTTTTGCAGGACTGGAATGGTCAAGTAGCTAGCCAGGATTCTCACATCAATTCAAAGAGCAAGAGCCTAGCGTATTCCCTGCAGAGCCAGAGGCCCACCCTGGCTTCAGCTTCCTTCAGCCTACACACAGGAATTAATGGGGGACTTGAAAGCAGACCACAACTTTGGAAACAGCTGCAGAAAATTCATCCCACTTTCAGAAGCTGCATGGCACTACACAACAGATTTCACAAGCTAAGTAGTTATATGCAGCACAGCTTCATGTCTAGACTCTAATCAGCTTGACGGAGAAAACAGGTCTTGAACCTATATGCCCTTATTCAAACAAGGGGGCCCCTGGGGACCCAGTCCTTCGCTTCCTCGTGCAGTCACTAGCGCCTAGGGAGAGGACATGCAGAGCACGGGAAGTCTGATTTTATGGCTCCCTTCCCACTCCCGGGAATGATCCAGACGACGAAAGTCAACAACAATTCAAGGCTGTTTGCTTCAACAGGGCAACCTGTGCAAGTACAAGGATATAGAAAGGAGCCCTAACCTATCTAAGATGTTTTCCTATTGCTTAAAAGCCATCTAAGAGAAAAGAACAAATGCTTGGGGTGGGGGAAGGGGGGAAAGGCTGTGGGTTTAAACACTTTTTCAATCTAACATTTCAAGAAATCAGTTTAACCAGAGGAATTATAAAACTGTTCACATCTAGCTGGGCCTCACCCTTTAAAAAACTGCTAACGCCTTTGCTAATTAATCCATGTTCTCTCAGTATTCACAGAACTCCAAATACTCTATTTCTGAAATGTACGGATCTACTCCAAACAGTCTACTCCAAACAGCAAGTCAAATGTAAGGCAACACAGAGAAACTTCCAGTGATCAGTGTAAACACTTTCAGATGACAAAGTTTTCACAAATACAGCTACATCACTGTCACACAGAGAAAGGCAAGCATCACCAATGTGACTATTTTTGTTTTGCATGCACGCATGCAGCTGTTTACTTATACTGCAGCACACACCAACCATGTAACTTAATGTGCCAGTAAAGTTGGGCTCCAGAAACATTTAGGAAAAAACACAATACAATACATGCTTCATGACAGGATCTGGCAAAGAAAGCACCTGTGAAACATAAGCTTCTGAAATCCAGAAGAAAAAGAGTAGCTTCATTTCCGTCTCAAGACCAGACTGGTAAGAAACAAATTTATTTAAAAATCAAAGTTCAGTTTCTCAGGATTGTATCTGACGCTTCTGAGTGACCAAGTGTTTAAAGACACACCTGGCTAAGGAAAAAAGGCAGCAGAGTTAGAGGGCTATTTTTAAGATTAAGAGGTCGGAAATTCATTTTCTATCCCCATAAGAATTTTGCCAGAGCCCTTGGGTCTTTGACATCTGGCCACTCAGATGATCATCTGAAATCCAGACGGATGAGGCAATCCAGTCAGTGCAAAATTGCTGCTCTTCTTTTTTTTTTTTTTTTTTAAGACTATCTTGAGGTCTTTTTGTTTTTATTCTTGAATCACCATACTCCACTCACTCAGCTCAAGGTGGCTATATTGTAGGTACCCCTCCTCCAACCCAATAAATAAATAAATAACTTTGGACAATGACTTCATCTGGGCTTGGTATCCAGAAGCTCTTCCACAGTATCTGCGTTGCAATCAGGAAGCTGCACAAAGAGAGAGCTGCAAGAGATTTTGGCTATTTCCAGATTAGAAATTGAAAGGCATGACTCACAAATGAAATGTAGCAAGGACACCATCTACAAGACACACCACATGCAACCTGGGGAGCTGGTGGCCTGAGAAAGTGACCTCCATGGCTTCTTCCTTTAGTATGTGTGTAATTTAAGATCCTGCCTTGTAATCCTTCCATTTCCGACCGGGAAGCCACCCCTCCCTCCCACCTCCAACTGTTCCTCAACAGTTTTCTTTCTTTGTGCAGCAGAGCAAGTCAGCAATCACAAAATGTGCAAAACATACAACGATTCACACAAGCCCTTGCAACATGAAGACAATTGCAGGCATTGTTTCAGCATGCAAGCACTGAACAATAAATAACTATAGCTACAACAAATAACAGGAATGGGACAGTTCGAATTACTTATAAATACAGGGAGGAAACGGAACAAGGAGCATTTGGGGGACGTTGTTCGTTCCCCACTGTTGCAGAAACATTTCACCACTGGGCTGTTCCTTATCAAGCGGAAGGTCACTCGCTGCACGCAGGACGGTGCAACGCAGGATCTAAGAGATGCTGTAGGCACTGCCCACAGACAAGCACACTCTGGTTCACAGAGTTGAGCAGCAAGACCGCTGCATCTTCATTCACAGCGGGATCTCGCTGATTCAGACCTGGCCTGCTTCCCCTGCAGCTGGCGCGGGCACTTCAAACCACCACAAAGAGAGGTGACAACCATTTCAAATTTCACATACAAACAGCGGAGTCCATGGAAATCAAGTGCTGTGTGCTGCACAGCTCAGAGAAGTTCTGTCTCTTCTTTTTCTCCTTTGAAGGACTGATTAATATTGGCATTAATCCACAATTACTAGCACAATGACCAGATCATAGGTTCGTCCATTCATATTTAAACCACGTGCTGAAGCACTGAAGACAGTTATTTTTCCTCCCATTCCTTCATGTCTAGGTTAGATAATTTACAAGGTGCAGATGACTTTCTTCAAATGCAAGCGACGCTGAACGATTTTTCTTCATTAAAACCGTTCCTCCAGATCTGAGGTTCCAATTCTCTTCTCCAAATAAAGAAGTAAACTAAAAGCATGGGAAGACAGGGAGGGGAAAAAAAAAAAAAAAAAAAGAGAGAGATGAGAGAGAAGATTTAAAGGGGTTTACTGAGACTATGTTCCATAACATTTTTGTTAGATGTCAAAGAAAATTTCAAAGCTATGCTCAGGATGCAATCCCATTGATGGGCTTCCCCCCACCCTCAGTATTCCTGTGCCAACCACTGATAAATAAGCCAGCCACAAACATAATTATTTAGGGTCAGATTCTTTCTTTATTATTCTACTAGCCTTACTCTGCAAACCATCCTAGTCACCCCAGAAACGCTGTTTAATTTTTGGGGTATAAATTCAGTCATTTCAAACCTAAACCAAATGAGTCCAATACAGTTCAATATGATGAGCTCGGCATCCTGCATGCTTCAAAATTTCTATGTTCCCCTCAAATTTTAAAGCTTTGTGGATTTGTTTAAAGCAAACATAACCTTGTGCAGCTTCTCTTCCACAAAAGCCCACATGAACACTTGGTGCAAAGAGTTATTTCTACCCGGGCCAAGGCAAACCTGCTTGGCGTAAAGCTGAAGTGGAGGTGAAGGTGTCTCACCCCAGTTCACCATGAAGAATTCTGAATTGAATTTATTCACAATATAGAAAGGGACATATAATCCTCTTACTTAAAACATATCTGCTATTCATTGGAGCAGAAGTCTGCCTCATTTCTTTTCACACAGCAACGTACCATGCATCAATAATCCCAACCTAGAGTCCTTTATAAAAATTGGTTATTCAATGAGAAATTCAGCCTTTGGATGCTGAGATTGTGCTTTGCTTTTTCACTATGAAGCTGTATTGAAATGCCAGCTTCCAAACCATCATCAGCTCATCACAGCCATTTCTGACAGCACTGCTAGAATTTTAGGAGGCAAATCCTACATCATTACAATGCAAAGGAGCTCCAGTGAACTCACAGTTCGTTTGAACATACCACATCTCTCTCAAGCTGCGATGTCTAAGAACATAAGGGAACACTCACAGGAAACACCACAGCCTACATAACAGCCCAGAGCATCAAGCCTTTTTGCAACTGTGGACTTGAAACACACTATCTTCATTATGTCTAAAAAGAGGTCCCTGCACTTAGTGTTGATTAGTATTTTCTAGACATTCTTCAGCATAACATGCTAGCCTTCCCACTTCCACACTATCAACATTGAAACCTAAAAAATGTTCCCCGTCATGGGATGACCTTTAAAAAAATATTATAAACAATTCCGAAATGAAGGGGGGGGGGGGCGCGGGGGAGAAATCCCCAACCTACTCAAAAGGCCCGAGTTTGAGGAACAGGACAAAGCAGACTGAAGTCT